GTGGCTCAGTTGGTTAAGCGACTGCCTTCGGCTCAGGTCATGATCCTGGAGTCCCTGGATCGAGTCCCGCATCGGGCTCCCTGCTCGGCGGGGAGTCTGCTTCTCTCTCTGACCCTCCCCCCTCTCATGTGCTCTCTCTCTCATTCTCTCTCAAATAAATAAATAAAATCTTAAAAAAAAAAAAAAATCTGCACTGAGTCTCTAATTGTCTACTATCCACTGATGTAAACTGACCCATGAGAGCAAGGTTGTTTTGTTTCACAGATGGTCTCAAGGTATGGCATCCTACCTACTAATCTGACTTGCTATTCTTTAATATGGGCAATTCCTGATTTTTAAATTTACGTGCTATGCAACAATTCAAGCAAATTCCCTAGCCAAGACCCCATCCCCAGGTTATTTCCCTGGGTAAATTTCCTAAAAGTGTAATTATTGGATCAGGGGTAGAAACTCTCAAGACTTCGGACAACTCTTAACTTCCATCCAAAAAAGCTGTATAGCTTATACTCACCTCAGCTTTAAATTAGCAATCAAACCCCATGTACTCCTGCCTGTGCTGTTATATATATAAATGCTTTTTGATAGGCAAAATGGCATCCTCCTACACCACATACAGCTAAGTGGTTATGAGCAGACCTATAGCCACCACAGAGGCTCAGGATTCCAGCTCACTTAGTTGATGAAGATCACACAGTGATGTACTCTAGGCTTTAGTTTCCTCATCTATAAAATAGATATAACAAAGGTACCTTCTCCATAGACTCGATTAAATGAACAAATACATACAAAAGCACTGAGAATGTCCTTACACTTGGAAAGCTCTATTGTTCCCATCTGAATTTTCTAGCTACTATTAGATTCATTTTTTCATTGATCATCAGTTCTTCTTTGATGAACTGTTTTTATCATACCCTTTCCCTTTTGCTATGAGACGGTCACCTATATTTTCTTCATCTTTCTAATTCTTTACATTTACACTCTTTAACCCATTTGGAATTTATATTGGTATATGTTGGAGGGAATTGTCACCCTTCCCCAGATATATGGTACCAGTTAAAACCACTTATTAAATAGTCCATCTTCTTACCTTTACTCTTCTGAAATGCTGTCTCTACCACATGGACACCTCAGTTATTAAGTTTATTAAATGCATGAGAAAAACACTTCTGTTTCTCCTTTACTCTCATACAATACTTCAGACACCAGACATGTGGATTTCCCACACCAAATAATTATAGGACACCAGCTGGGTGCCCTAGAATTCAACTCTCAACACTAACTAGAGTTGGTGCAGACCCCAGAGGTGAAGGGCTCAGTCCTACAAGAAGGCCCACATTTCCCCAATGCCCCAGATCCCAACTTCCAAGTCCAGGTTGTCACCTGTACCTCTCACTTACTAGCTATAAACGGGGGTTCCTGTGGGTTTGATAATTTACTTGAATGGCTCACAGAATTCAGGGAAACACCAAATGTTTGCCAGTATTATAAAGGATGTAATAAAGGATAAAGATAATGGCCAGATGGAGATACCTAGTCTGAGAGTAAGCTTCTGTCCCTGTGAAGTTGGGGTGCACCACCCTCCTGGCAAGTGGATTTTTTCACCAACCTGGAAGCTCTCCAGACCTCTTAGTATTCAAATTTTTATGGAGGCTTCATCAACATAGGCATGTTCAATCATTAACTCAGTCTCTAGTCCCTCTGTCCTGAAGGATGTGGTTGGGTTGAAGTGCAAGCTTCTCATGACAGCTTGGTCTTTCTGGTGACCAGCCCTCATCCTGAAGCTATCCAGGAGCCCACCAAGAGCTGCTTCATTAAAAGACACCCCTGTCACCCGGGAAATTACAAGAAATTCAGTAATTTTATATCAGGAACCAGAGTCAAACACCATTAAAACAAAAGATGTTCCTAGTGCGGTCTTAGGAGCTCTATGCCAAGAACAGGGGACAGAGACTTTTATGTTTTCTATCATTTCTTTATCCTATTGTATTCTTATTTCTTTTAGGCCAGTAGGACACCAGTTTAACCTCTGTAAGATGAACTGTCCTATCTTTCATTTCCACTTTGGACCCACACGTGATATAAATTCTGTCCATCATAAATTAAGTTCTGCATATCAGAGCAGTCATCAAAGATTAGCTCCTAGCAATAGGTGTTCTGAACACCAAGCACTGGGCACAGCCATCCTTGCTGGACTTATCGGGCATCTTTCCCCTCCTACTGCTGTGCCTTGACCTGCCTCTTCCTGGCCCTTTGAGCCTCCTTTAATATGTAATCACATGGAAGCAAAAAGCTTTTCAGTTCTTACCCTACTTCAGGACAAAAATGACCAGAGAAGTGCAGATTTCATTTTGTGCCTTTTAAGATGGCCCCTAAGTTAGCTGGCAGCACCAATGTGGTGTACCAGATGCTTCCATGTAAAGTGTTCCTGAGAGGCCAAGGAAATCAAATCATTAAGTTCTGCACATTAGTGCAGCCTGGAGTCCAGGTGCATGGTGAGGAGTGGGGATTGTCTATTTCTCTATTGATACTTTCTTCCCTACAGTCCCAGTCAAGGGTCAAGGGCATGATAACCCAGAGCTTGTTTAATCAGGAATACAGGGCAGCTGCCAAGTGCCCAGGCTCAAGGGAGACAGGGAGGGTGCCTGACTGGAATGCTCAGACTGGGTTAGGGTTAGCATCCCGGGTGATTCTCACACAGCAATTTTTATTTCAAAACCAACCTTAAAATTATTTTTGGTAGCAGATAAAGGAAGAGCTATTTTAAATAAGAACTTACTAGAAAATTAAGCTTCTATAAAACTTTCCCTTTTCTCTCATAGCTGTCTACTATCAGTGTAACCTACTACTCCACCTGAAGACAGTCATACCTGCTCCGTCCCCCAATACCACAGAAAGAACTTTACACAACTTTTGACAATGTGGGTAGTTTCATCCAGAATAAAAACTACACCTCTATGCTACACATCAATAACAAACGGGACATTTACTAAGTGCTTACACCAAAATTAGAAATACTAGCTAGAGACTTAGAAAACATTTTTTTAAAGATTTTATTTATTTGACAGAAGAGTGAGAGAGCACAAGCAGGGGGAGTGGAAAAGGAGAGGGAGAAGTAAGCTCCCAACTGAGCAGGGAACCTGATGTGGGACTCGATCCCAGGATCCTGGGATCATGACCTGAGCCGAAGCCGCATAACTGACTGAGCCACCCAGACGCCCCCTAGAAAACATTTCTGATTGGTGACACACCAAAATAGAAGATGATACTGCAGCCTTTCCATTCAGAGCCTATTCAGACAGCAGAATTCCAGGCCAGTCAGATCCATGGAAGGTAACAAGTATGGCTGAACAAAGAACTAAGCTATTAGCAGTGGCCACTGATGGAAGCGGTGAACCAGTTCTTCTGGCTGAGTGCTGTGGCCTCTCCATACACTCTGTGACCCAGCCACTGCCAAACACATGGCACCACACTCATCCTGAATGTAGAGATGTTTTTCTCTCCACTGAGTGTTAAATAAGCATTTGTATCAGTACTCTGAATTCTCAGAATTTGGAAACATGTTTGTGATGACAATGAAGAAAGGAAGAGACTTGAAATTGTTTTAGTTCAAGGAGAAACTTACCCCACAAAGGCCTCTTTTCCAGGAGTCATGTTTTGTTTGTGGAGAAAAAATTCCTAGTCTAACGTGAGGCCTCTTCCTAAATATGGACTCTCCTAGTCACTGGTTAAGAAAAGGATATCTTTAATTTTGAATGATGTTAAGTCAACAGCAAAAAACTAATTTTGAAAATGATTTGCGATGAGTATAGCTGCCCTCTGCAGCTAATAATCTTACCTCCCTCTGTAGCCACTGCCAACTTGGTAGTTGGGTACTAAGATGGTGTGGGCATGTGTAGTTTTAGAACCTAATATAGTTAAACATACAACAGCTAATTTACCTCACTTGTTGTACTGTGATTAAAGCTAATATGATCATGTGTTTTGTATTTTTCCTTGCCCATGACGTCTGGGCATCAGAGCAGGAAGCAGGGAATGTGCTTCATGGAAGAAGACCATGTGGAAATGAAGCATGGTTATCAGTCTACAATGCAGAGGGATGCAATTCCCTTTTTGGTTCATATATCAGAATAAACAGCAGGTCATAAAAAGGACAATGGACCATGAAACCAAAGACCTGACTCCTTTATCTATTAGCTTATCGACCTGAGCAAGTTCCTTTCCCAGTTCCTGATTCCAGTCTGTAAAATGGGTAAAATATGGATAACACCTATCCAACAAGCCCCAAAGTTGTTTCAATAGGATGAAAATATTTCTAAAGCACCTTCACAAACATACAAAATAATAATAATAATAATAATAATAATAATAATAATAAAGAAATTATAAAAGGAACAAGCCGTAGACCTGAAACAGAAGATCCACTCAAACACAAGACACCAATCAAAATCTGTGATAATGTTAAGGAAGTTAACTACGGAAGTACAATTTCCCAGTTTATATGAAAATGGTTTAATAATAGTGAAACTCAGAAACTAGTAAAATTAACAAAGTATATTGGCTAAAGATATTTTTTTCCAACCATGGCAAATATAATGCAGACACTTATCAATGCAAAATCTTTAATCCCTCCATCATGTACTCTGAATCCTACTTACTATTTAATATGAAACATGATATAGTCAGAGATGTCTTTGGCAGAATAATCACATGCATCAATGTGCCAAACACAAGCATTTTCTCCCTTTATACTTACCTGACCGAAGACATCTGATCAAAGACAAAAATCAACAATTTTAATAAGTAGTTTAGTTTATCAATAAGAGTCTAGAAGGTAACAAAAGGTACAAAGATAAATCTTTTAGGAAATTAAGTTAAAACAAGTAAAATTTACATTTTATTAAATCAGCAAATATAATCACCTGCGTATATTTTTACTAGCAAAAAATGATACTGATAAAGAAAAACGAAAGAAAAAAAAAAAAAACGCACAAAAATAAATCTTTTAGGAAATTAAGTTAAAACAAGTAAAATTTACATTTTATTAAATCAGCAAATATAATCACCTGCGTATATTTTTACTAGCAAAAAATGATACTGATAAAGAAAAACGAAAGAAAAAAAAAAAAAACGCACCTCAGACCAGAATACCATAACAAAAAGTTTTGTGGAAGCTGCATTTTATTTGAAAATCCACCCATTTTTGCTAACATACATTTTAATATTGTAAACAAAAATAGAATCTGCAGAGACAATGCAACAAGTATGCTTAAACTCATGTACAGAATTGCTTTCCTACAACGAACTGTCCTTCTTAAGGCCCCTCTCAACCAAAACGTTAAGATGTATTTACACAAAGCACCGATCAACAGTGCAGTTTAATTCTTCATTAACTAAACTCTTGGCTAGACATTAACTTTAAAGATACTATTTCCCCTTATTTAAAAGGTACATGATCATAACATGGCATGAGCCAAATAAAAGGTTTCAAGGATTTTGTCCCCTTCCCTCCCCCCATAACACCTCCTAGAGTTTTACTGAAAAGAAGGAAAGTCTTGAAGTGAAAGCAATTCCTCACATTCATTTTGGAAAGGCCCTAATGTCAAATGGAAAATAATGACATGCCAAGCACAAGCAGTAAAGTTCCTTCCCAATGCACTAATGCTGAATTTAAAATGTAGTGCTTTTCCTAGTCAGTGAACTGTTCCCTTGCAAAATCCTAGGCACAGAATTGACTATAAGGATTAATGCATTTATAATGCTTCCCTAAATCCCATAGAGACTGAGAATTCTTAAGCGATTCAGACCTATGGACTTGCCTTAAAATATTTAGTGCTCTGTATGTCAGCTGAAAAGCATTCTGAATCAGATTCACTTTTATGGATAAAAATCAAACATACTGTGTACATCCATACTCATTTTCATAAGGAGGTCTGATACAATATTAATGTTATGTAAATTGATAATCATAAATAAATACAAATACTTAAGGAATGTCTACTGCAAACTGAATATATAATTTTTTTAAAAGAAAAGTTAATTTTAGTTACTGTTTCTATATCTGTGAGGACTGGAGAAAAGAAAGATACTGCATAATTAAGAATTATGATTTTGATCCCCCCAAAAGAGTCCTATTGCATTACAGTAAAGGACAGAGCTCTTCTCTCCAGGCAGCTTTTCCAAATACAAATTTCACACTTTCCAAATAAGGGCTTTTCTTGGTAGGTTACTGATTATGGGTATTAATAAGAGTTGAAAGAACTGAAGGGTTAGTCACCAAAAAGACAGATCTTAGTCTGAAATCATGGCAATTCTTGGCTTTATAAACTGTATTGATACGTTCTCCTATAGACTAGTCCCAATTTCCTTCATGGGCCTTCACTGGGTTACTGTAGCATTCTAATGGAAGAAGAGAGTTTTAAGAGACAGCAGTTTGGATTTTGCTGGAAGTAAAAGTATTTGCTGCTTGAGCACTTGTCTTTTTGAAATAATTCCATTCTCTTCCATCTAGTTACATAAACTGTATCTGGAAAAAAAAAAAAAGACTGTAAGTTCATTCACTGCATTGTAAGATGTCTTCTCACAAATAAAAATGCTCTGTGGCTTTTACCATTCAATTGGCCCAGAAATGTTTACTGCATGTTTATCACAACCCTGAATACAAAACCAAGTCAGTATCAGCTCATCATGTGCCAGAATTCAATATCTGAAGCCTAATTAGAGGGACTTCCAAATATATCTTTCTAATTACTAAAAACCAAGAGACAGGGGAAGAAAAAATAAATGAACAATTTTTCAATGACAAGTTCAGAACATCTGTCCATGAACACAAATATTCCATGTGAAAATCTCATTCAGAGAAGCACAATCTGACTTATTATTTCCAAATGATATCATAAAATTAGATAATTAAGGGAAGAGTAATATTATGCTTACTAAATCATTTCTTTACTAATATAAATAAAAATCTGAACGATCTACAAAGGAATAGTTTTCAATAGGGCCTCATGTTTGCTCAGATATTTCACTCAGGATATCTTAAACTGTTCATCCAAAGACATTACTGAAGTAGATGTGCTAATAAACTTGTCAAATCAGAAGATTTTTCAACTCTCAAAGATCTAGAAGCTCTATCTACACTGGGGGCTAGAGCACCAAGAAGAACAAATTTCACCACCTTCCAGCAAAAAGAGGCAGTGTGGATCAAACACAGAATTCTTCCATCAAAAAGGGCATAAAGTATTCGTTTGCCCTTAACTTAAAAAAAAAAAGTCTGTTTTGGGGAAAATGTTACTATTTTTAAATGAAAAGGCACACATAAATATAACACTTTAAAGAAACTGTTAAAATGAATTCTTCACAAATCATGTTCAGGGACATTATATTCAAACTACAGATGCTCCTAGTCAAGCTCTAATCCAACATGCAGAATTGCATTGTTCTCCATACAACTTTTAAGACTGATGAAAACACCCAGTTTTTAAGGGTGGTATATTTTATCCCATCCATCTGCTGTGAGCAGTGGATGCTTGTATGTAAACATGAGAGATGGTTCTTTGATTTCACACCTTCTAATTATGTTAAAGGTATTTTCCAAAAGTTGTTTGTCCTTAGGTCCTATTTTGATCTATTTTTATTCTTCACCTAAAGAATAGAGGAGGAGGAGGAAGAGCGAGAACCTAGAGTTCTTTAAAGAAACAAAGGAGAAGAGTGAACTGTGTTTAATATTTGATAAACTTTTAAAGTAAGTCCCCATCTCACCCAACAAGCAGCAATACCTAAAGTGATTTATAAGAAATCCTCCAAAGAGAGCTCTGCAAAAGGGTCCTTTCCTGAAGCTCTGTGAGGACTGTGACTGGAGGGGCTGGATGCTGCCGACAGCTGGGGGAAAAGAAGACAGAGAGAGGGAAAGAAAAAAAGATCTCTGAATGACAGAACATGAAAGCAGAAAATGTAATGAAAGAAGAAGTGGTTTTTGTTTTGTCATCTTTAATAAATATAAAGGCAGCCTTTGTAGAAAATGGAATTATTAAAACAAAAGTTTCAATCACATGTCAAGTTAAAGGTATCCAATGGCATGTGTTTTTCAGAAAACAAATTGTTTCTGAAATTCCAAAGGAATAAAGTCTTTTTACTCAAAAAGGTTGATAAAAGCTGACCCACAGTTAAGACTTCTATTGTGGGTGGGGGAAAGAGGGGAAGAAAGTGCATAATTGTGATTTTTTCTTTTTAATTGAGGAAAGATGGCTTCCTGTGTGTCCAGGCTATTTGTCAAAAGCTATGCAAACTCTGACCTCAGTCCAGACCCAATACATCCATCTGTAATAATCTTTCCTTCTTTCCTAAGAGGTGGAAAGTCTTGTCCTCAGCGCTCATACTGTTTTCACATGGAGTTGTCTCCTGCTCTTTCTCTGGACATGCTGTAGCTGATGCATATACTCTGGGAGGTAAAAGTGACTTTAGAGGTCACCTAGTCTAACTGCCCGCATATGCCCTGAAAATAGGGAATACTTAAGATTACTGATTCTGTTTCTACTTGATTATATTTGCTTGATTCTTGGAATTAGCTGCTATCGTTTAATCTGAATTTACGGTGAGGCAAATAGTTTGTTAAACTCAATAACGTATCATTAGTATTCCCTCAAAGACAGCCAGTTCCTGAAGAATAACGATGTTCATTTTCATACGTGTAGCTCCTTCACCAAACCTAATTTGAATATTTCAAACCAAACACAAATCCTTTTAGTTTGGAACAAACTTTTTTTTTTTTTCCTCCCCCCTGCATAAGACTGCAGAGGCATGCAAGCTTTATGAAATGAGCTGTCCTTTTAGGGATGTTCAAGTGAGTATTAAATCGAAGTTGACTAAGTGGGAATATATCAATTCATATTTCCAACATTCAAATCCTATAACGAATTTCAATCCTCATCATCTGTTTTTGCTGGTTCAAAGTGATCTCATTTCTACCTTTTGATTTAAGAAAAGCACTACAGAGAATGAATAGCCAATGACTTTCAGCAAATATTACTTCACAAGTATACGCAATTTGTTGTTGTGGATGCCAAAAGCAATTTAAAGGTTTGGAAATCATCTTCAGTTATTTTAGTGGTTGAGCTATTGTCCTAATCCATACCTTGCCCTCAAAAATAAATGTTCAAGACAATGGGAAGAGACAACGGAAAGGATGATGAACTTACACAGGCAGCTACAAATGGTAGGACAGAGCAGCAGTCTGGATTTGGGGATTCAAGTAACAGCCGGTAGAGACAAAGTAAGGTACAACACAACTGGAAGGACGTCTCCACCTCCCCACTTCAGACCAACCATGGATGACCATTCAAAAGCAGAATGATTTTAAGTAAAGTGATCACCAGTCACTGAGAGCTGGATGGAGTCTAAGATTAACTGGGTTTCTCTACAAAACAGATTTTCTCTTTCACTTGAAGTTCAAACAAAAACACCAAAAATCCCTTATTGTGGATAAAGTGCATCCAAAATCTCAAGTCTCTTACGAGAGCCCCACAGTAAAATGTCTTAGTCATGTTTTCATGAGGATGGCAGTCTGAAGACCCGACAGTCCCAGAGGAAAATGCACAAAGAATATGCTAAAAGGGAACACTTCTATTCTTCTGAATGCGTGAGCGCATACTGCTAGAGAGAAGTCCTACAAGCTTACAAATGTTAGAGGATCAATTTCCTTGGGTAGAAAAAAGTGCCAGTTTCTAACTAATGCTTCCATTCTCACTTAAATTAGAAAAATCCACATACCTATAACTTTCATTTATAAATATGTAGCCAAATTAAAACAGGAAAAAACAAGACCTAATACCCCTGTAATAAAGCTCAAACTTATTGTAATCAAACTCATCTCAAGCACATGAAACAGTGGCCCAGACTGGTTTGGCTGACCACAGAGTGCTAAAGGCAGGGCCAAGCAGCCCTGGACCACCTGTGCCCACCTCTTCCTGGCACCTGCATCAAAGCACAGGCACACCATGCACTGTTGAGAAAGTAGCAAGCTCTGAGAGTAAATAAGGAAAAAGAAAAGGAAATATGCTGCAATAGCCCAATTACTGCTCAAGGAAAGCAGGAAGAACAGAAGAGCATGAAGGGGGCCAACAGGATCCTGGTGGGTGAGAAGCAGTGGGATTGGAAAAGTCTGAAAAGTCACCTGTAAGTAAAAGAGCTGACCTTCCTTTACTTATCATTCTATGAGTAAATTAGAGACTATGTAGGGCTGCTAATACTAGGAATGTGTGCTCTCTTAAAAAAAAAAAAAAAATCCTACTACAAATATGCCATCACAAAAAACCCAAAAAATGGGGTGGGGAGGGAGCACAGTCAGTTAAGTGTCCAACTCTTGATCTCCACTTAGGTCTTGGTCTCAGGGTGATGAGTTCAAGCCCCGCGTAAGGCTCCATGCTGGGCAAGCAGCCTATTTAAAAAAAAAAAAAAAATCCAGGGGTACCTGCGTGGCTCAGTTGGTTGAGCATCAGACTCTTGATTTCGGCCCAGGTCATGATCTCAGGGTCATGGGACTGAGACCTATGCTCAGGGCAGAATCTGCTGAGGATTCCCTTGTTCTCCCTCCCCCTCTCGCCCTCCCCCCACTCAAGTTCTTCCCTGCCCATAAACAAATAAATGAAAGCTTTAAAAACTAAATAAAACATGGCCTCTTACTCATTTATTTCAAATATCCTCCATACCAATTCCCACAGAGCTAAAAAAAATTAGCACAGCTATTATTCAAATTAAACTGACCTATACCACAACTGAATATGCTTTCAAAGAGTAGTCACTCTTACTGTAAGTCTAGTACAGACATACTTAGTCTTCCTTTCTCATTTTATAGGAAAATAAAATATTGAGAAATAGTGAAAGAGCAGCATATAAATAGAAATACTAAGATTTGTAAGTAACTGATAGTAACTCTTAGCTGAAATTCCTCCACCCTTTCCCTTCATTCTAATCAACCTTTAAAATATAATGTTGAAATGGGAAAAAAATTCTAATGTTACCAAAAATCTTTGCTTTTATGTCAAAAGCAAAGATTTTTTTGGTTGTAGCATGTGTTTATTATAATAAAGGCAGAGTACAGAAATCATAACTTTAATAAAAGTCAAACATACTTAAGAGATTTTAAAAAAAAGAATTCTATTGCTAAACCAAATGTCATAAAACAAAAATGGTTACTCCTTCATCAAACTCCTGTTCAACACCAAAGAAAGAAAATTTCAGGTCAGAACAAGAAAATAACAGCAGTCTCAAAGTGAGACTAGTGCAACTAAAAGCTTACAGGAGAATAAAGAATTGAGTTATTTAAGGATAAACTTCTGACATATCACTGGCTGTGCTTAACATTCTTGGAGAAGAAACTCTGTCACATCTTTTCTTTCCATTTGAATTTTGCAGTCACCCAAAAGCCTGGATACCAAATAGCAATGCTGTAGAGACTCATTTTGTCTTTGTTAGAGAAGCAAAGTCAACATCTTAAGAGAAAAATGGGTATACTTCCTTTGGGATGAC